AAAGACCCTGATGCTGGGAAAGATTGAGGGCAGGAGGAGAAGGGGACAACAGAGGATGAGATGGTTGGATGGCATCACCAACTCAGGACATGGGTGTGGGTGGACTCCGGGAGTTGGTGATGGAGAGGGAGGCCTGGCGTGCTGCGGTTCATGGGGTTGCAAAGAGTCGGACACGACTGAGTGACTGAACTGAATGGAACTGATCCCACTATAGGAGATTTCTCACTGATGTTCTATACCTTTATTATTGCAACCTGCTGTCATTTTTTTTTTAAGATTTTCTTTTTTGATGTGGACCATTTTCTAAAAGTCTTTATTAAATTTGTTACAATATTGCTTCTGCTTTATGTTTTGCTTTTTTGGCTGCAAAGCATGTGGGATCTCCCTAACCAGGGATTGAGCCTGCACCCCCTGCATTGGAAGGCAAAGTCTTAACCACTGGACCGCCAGGGAAGTCCCCCTGGTATCCTTTTTACAGCAGGCTTTGACGCCCATCTCCTTTGGCCTCTCTTTTTGCTGTTCTAGGATTCCCAACCCCCTCCCTGCCTGTCAGAGGTAATTTCTGTTTCCTTATTATTTGGGGAAATTTAGCTGACTTTCACTTTAAATTCCACTCCATAAAAACCCCCAGCCAGTCTTGCCCTAATCAAAAGCCCCATACCAGAGACATCTGCTAGGAGATATGTTCTGATGGTTTTAATATGGTATAAGTGATTGCTGGCATCTCTCTTTTTAAGTAACATGTTATTTCCTCTCTGTTAATGATTTACCTTGACATTTCTCCTTTCACATGAGCAGATTGTGATACTAGTTCCCTTTTCTGGAGGAAGTCTACTCAAATGGTGAAGGGAAGCTGATAGTAGGTGGCTGGGCCTACTTGGTCCCACACACTACACAGAAGGCCTCATTCCCTGGAGATAGAGGTACCAGCAAATTTTCCTTTTGGTTGTTGTTGTTTTTTTTTTTTGTAAAACAAATTCCTTATGAAAACAGTCTGCTTGAAGCAGTTAAGTGAAATAGCATATTTAAAGGATAAGATTTTAAAAATTATATAGCAAATTTTATAGCATTACAAATTTTGTATAGTATTACCTGATACCTTTCCCTCTAATCCTTTACCAATTTGTCCCAGTTAGCAATCTCATTCACAGACCTTGACTTGATTACTCATTTGTGATTCACTTTCCTCCCTAAAATACAGGGTCAAACTGCAGCCTGGAAACTTGGTGCAAAGTGCCTCAGGAGATCTTTTAGCCCGGTGACTGCCTAGGAGCTAATTAACTCTTTGTAAGGAAGCTTGCTTGTTTTCCTTTCTCACCTAATTTCATCCTCTCTATACCAGCAAAAAAAAAAAAACAACAAAAAAAACCCCACCAAATTGACCATATTATCCCCTGAAGGAGGAAATGGCAACCAACTCCAGTATTCATGCCTGGGAAATCCCAAGGATAGAGGAGCCTGCTAGGTTATGGTACACAGGGTCACCAGTCAGATATGACTGAGCAAGCAAACAATAACACCATAAAGGACTGTGCCCACATAAGTGGCAACCAACTGTTGCAGAAAGTGACTGACTGCATGAGGGCACGTGTCCATCCCTCCCAGGTGAGGAAGTCTCACTTTTTCCACAGGAAATCAGGATGTGACACAGCGTGACCTGACAAGTGCATTGAGTGAAGCTGACTGTATCAATTGCTGACTTCGGGTTTATACTACCTCTTCAGTTCTTTCTTATTTTTCAGATGAAATATGTTATAAATACTCTCATTATATCTACCCCATAGGATGCACACACCCCACTTTAGAAAGCATTACAACAGAGAGCCTGGGGAGAGGATGTCATTTCACTAAGGGGAGTAAGGGAAATGACAGGGTATTAAGTAAGGTGGTGGTCTTCTGTGACTTATGCTTTGAAAGGAGCAAGAGAAAAGTTGAGAAAAAGAAGCAGAAAAGAGGAAGCTATCGAGGTGGCCTAGGAAGGAGACAATGATGCCCGGACGATGGAATTAAAATACAGATAAAGAAAACTGGTTAGGTGGGCTTTTGGTTTCATTTCTCCAACCTGCTTCTTCAGTCCTGGAAACATCTCTCTGTGTGCATGAGATGTGAAACACATTCTGTTGTGAAGAAAGTGAGCAGAGGTAAACGGTTGGGACTGGCAGTGGGGACTTTCTATGCATCAAGATCTAGGCTGGGCCTGTTTCTCAAACACTCCTGGAGGAGGATCCTGGCTCATAGGGAGGGCAAAAGTGCACTTGGACCAAGGTCATACAGCTAATAAATGGTGGGCTTCTGACCTTAACCCAGATATCTCAGAAGCCGCAATCTTCTCTCTTTTCACAGTAGCCTTTGAGGGCTTTGTCCTGTCACCATCAGCAGCTGCTAGCTGCCCAAACATCACACCTGTCTGGTCTATCAAGAGGACCTCAAATATACAAAGCTGATAGTCTCTGTCCACTGCCAACTTTCTAAAGACTCCACACTGCATAATACTTCTAGCCCAAATTTCCTGGACTCTAGAATAACCTATCCTATATTTGGGTCTTCTTGAGGCTTTATAAAATTTAAACATATATAGTTTTAGGGTATGGAAAAGAGTTGGGACACTTATGGTCTCTTGGATATATGTCTTATTCGAATGGTATTGACCTTGAGGATTAGGAAATAAATTGCAATCCATATAACTCTTGTAGGTCAATGTTGTTATAAGGTATAGGGTCAAATTTTCTGTGAAGTTATTGTCTCCAAAGAGCCCTTTAAAGAGCTTCCATGTATTTATCTCAATTACACCTTATTTGAGATGAAAGCAAATGAATAAGGACACATGAGAATTACTGTTAAACATGTAATAGTTGAGGCACATATTCATGACACTAAAAAAATCAAGACTTTTTTCTGATCAATGGTTCATTTATTGATAGCATTTTCTTTTTAAAAATTTTCAAAAATTAATAATAGAGTATAGCTGCTGATAGCATTGTCTTAACAAAGAAAATATTTCAAAGTACAGAGTATAGATGTCAATACCGCTTTGAATTAATATTTGCTTAGAGCATATATGTATACATATATATGGTATATATAAGTCACAGCTAACTTAGTCAAAACATGTAGTCTTTGGGTATTAGTGATACACTGACCAGTTTAGTAGTAAGATGCAAGGTAACTGGGTCAAACTCTCAGATTATGGAACATTTCGATTTTTCAGGGGAGTTATATGAAAGGAGCTAAGAGTCTCTCTGTTAAGACGCTGTTTGGGATCACCACTGGGCAGCACTGCAGTGTAAGGACTGACAAAATTTGAGAAACTAGACAGGGGTTAAATTCTGGCCCGACATCCTCTCTTATGCAGTGCTTGAAACTCCCTCTTTAAGAGGGTTTTCAAGCCCTGCAGAGGTTCACTGGGCACTATCCATGCCTCCACTAACAGGGGTTCACTGGTCCCTCTAGCACTTGGTGACTTAATACACTCTTCATGAGAGCTGGTGTGGTGATTGATAATCACAATATTCACAAACTCGGAAACAAGTCAAACTGACAGTGAGATTCACATTTTCCTAAAATCAGTTTTCAAAAGGACCTTGGTGACTTTCTTGTCAGATCTTGGAAAACTGAGGCTTGTCGGGAACGGTAATGAAGGAATTTTTATATTCTGTGGGAAAAGGTTAGACACCGGTTGGTCTCCAAAGTGCCTTTGCCTTTCCATTGGTAAGATTCTATGATTCCAGGCATCCTGTATATTTAATTGAAAACAGTTTAGAATATCCACAAATGATTTAAACGTTTCCTTCTTATCCGTTGGAGAGGCCAAGTTGACATCCTGTCACAATAAAACAAGGATGCATCCCCAGAGCAAAACATGTTGATCATGTGCAATATCTCTTACTGTGTTGAGAAGCCGCAATGACCGAGATTAAAGCTGTTTAACACACACTCAAAAAAGAAAAAAGAAAAACAAGGATGTTGCATCACCCTCAGTCCTTGAAGTGATAACGGCCTGAAGATAATGAATAAAAAGTGTTACCAGGGTTAGACTACATGGAGTAGTCAATTAACTCCTCCTGCTTTGAGGAGACGGTCTATTGTTCTCTTACCTGTAACAGCTGCAAAATGATTCAAAGCCTAATTCCACAGTATATTAGGCTTGGTGGCAGATTCAGGGAAATAAACTGTGCCCCTTACCCTCAAGGAGCTGACAACCTTGTTGGAGAATTAACATGAACAAGCAAAAAACAGAAAGTAATGAAGTGCTCCCCTGTATGGTGTTGGACCCCAGTGAAATAGGAGTCTTAAAAAAATCCAAGTGGAAAGATTTTGTTGGCAGAGGCAGGATGAAAATGACCCTTGAAGACTGGATCAAGTGAGTGCGTGTGAGGGGAAGGAGATATTTCCATGGGGTGTTGGGGGAAGAGTGAGAAAACTGTAGACCCAGGTGAGGCAGGATGTGACCTGTGTGGTAGAGAGGGCGGACACTGAACCGTGGGAGGATGGTGGGGAGCTGGCTTGACTGAAGCAAAGGGAACAGGAAGGAATGAAGCAGTCGGCGTGGGCAGGCAAGATGGAGTCCCACAGCCTCAACACCAGATGGAAGGTTCTGAAAGCCAAGTGCTAGGGGTCTTCAGTGGTGACGCCCCCGGCCCCCCTCCCCCTCCCCAGAGGAATAACTGGCATGAATCTCTCAGATACACTGTATATGAGGCCCACAGGCTGATGCAAATACAGATGCTGACAGCTACAGCAGCTTGGCAAGGCCCAGCTAGACTCCAAACTGCTTTACTTGTCAGCACACTGCCAGGCTGGCGGGCCTGCTGACCTGGGCCTCAGGATGTTCTCTGGAGGCCTGGGAAGCCTGCAGCTGCTCTCCCAGGCAGCTGTTGTGTGTGGGCTTTAGCTGTGAGGACATTTGTCCAGATGTGGGTGTTGCTAAAACTGTGGGCTTAAGCATGAGGAAATTCAGTTGGTCGGAGGTGGAAGAACAAAGACAAACTATAGCCTCTAACAACTGTTCACATTTGGATTTTGAAAAGCAATTTTCTAGATTTAATTACAAGTACAAAATAATGTTGCAAATTTTCTAGTCAGATCAACAAGCTTTTGTATTAAGATGCCATCCCTTTCAGGATTTATTTCAGTTAGTTTAAAAGAACCTGTTTAACACAAGATAATGGTTGGTGAAGTGGGAGCTCATGTAGTCTTCTTTTGAGAAGAACGTTGAGATCTTTTAACTTTTGGAACTTTCTTGGTTTTTTTATATTTTTTCCCTTTCTTTTGCTTTTTCTTTTGGTTGACCTGTGAGGAGATAGCAAAAAAAAAGGTGGGGGTAGTGTTTCTCTATCTTACCATTTTTCCTTCCTTATATTATATTTGGACTCTCTAGACTGTGGTCTTTATTTATCCTCATAACCAGTTTAAAGTTGCATCACTCTTGGAGAGGCTCCTTTTGATTCTATTTCAGTTACTTTGATGAAGAAGCAATAGCCTTCTAACTGGTTTTCTTTTGCCTATTTTCTTGGCTATCCCCACTCCAAACTTGCTCATGACCCACCTCTACCAACTGTGGGGCTTCCCAGGTGGCACAGTGGTAAAGAATCCACCTGCCAATGCAGGAGATGCAAGAAACCTGGGTTCAGTCTCTGGGTCGGGAAGATCCCCTGGGGTAGGAAATGGCAACCCACTCCAGTATTCTTGCCTGGAAAATTCCATGGACAGAGAAGCCTGGCGGGCTACAGTCCATGGGGTTGCAAAGAGTCAGACACGACTGAATGACTATCATTTCCTGAGAGGTTGGATTATCATCCGGTTTTTACAGACAAGGAGATGGAGGCTCGGAGCGGGTGACTTGGCCAAAGTTGCACAGCTGGTATGTGCCAGAACGGCTCCTCTGTCAGCGTCCAGAATCAAGCTCCCAACTACATATGCTGTGGTCCTCTTCCAACTTAACCCCTCGGCATTTCAAACAGGATTCCTCTGGCTTTGTCCTGATCTACTTTTCTACCTCAGTCCCTTCATTTCCTCCACACAAACTCAAGCCATATTATTCAAGGTTCCCCGAGCACAGTGAGCTCTCTCATGATCCTAGTCTTTTTTTTTTTCATGCTCTCCTTACCCTCCCAGTGAAATACTTATCCTTCAAGATCCAGATCAAATCACCTGATATGAAAAGTCTTCCTTAACACCTTCTCCTTGTCCCCCTCCTCTGGCAAAGTTAATTACTCTTTCCTCTATTATCTTCAAGATTCTTGTACTTATCTTTATTTTATATTTTCCACATTGTACTGTAATTAATTGTTAGCTAATCTGCTACAGCAGGAAATGACTTTGTCTCATTACCTATTTTTTTGGGGGGCAGGGGGAGGCTATGTCATGAGATAGTTCCCTGACCAGGGATTGAACCTGGGCCCTGGCAGTGAAAGTGTTGAGTCCTAACCACTGGACCACCAGCGAATTCCCTATCCTCATGATCTACCATTCAATATGCATGTACTATATTGGATAAGAAAGACAAACTCCCTACCCACATGGGACACACATTCTAGTGGGACAGACAGACAAGTGATACCATAAGCAGGAATACAATTCCACATTCTAGGGGAAAAAATGGTAGCACAATAACATGAGTGAAAAATGTAACCTTAAAGGCGCTCCATAATTCTTTGACTTCCAAAGTTAGTTTCTAAAAGAAAGCAAATCTTGTCCCTTTTTCACCCACCTGTTTCTCCCACTTTTTAATCAGTTCTTTCACTTCTGGTAAATCTGGGTTTAGGCAGGCTTGATCCCCATTCTTCATTGTAGCACTACCAAAGAAACAGCAACAAGTTTTTGGCTTTTTCTTTTAGTTTTAATGATTCAAATGCTTTCTCTTATCCACAGAATTCAATTCCCCAATTAAAATATATTTGTAGCATCTGGGACTTCAGTCTTTTTCCTGTCTTTTCATTTTTTTAAGTGACTGAGGGGACTTAGATACATTTCTAGGATAGCACATAACTCTAAATTTTAAAAAAATCCAACAGGTATATGCAATGGGAGAACTTATATCTAAAGATAATATTGGTTCTCTTATGCTGGAAAAAGCTATTTATGTTTAAGTGAAAACATAAAATAGAAAAGTTGCCAATATACCTACTTTCCTCCCCAAACAATGAAAATGAGCATGAATTTTACTAAATTTTCTAGTAAAACAACTTAAAACATAATAAAATGTTTCCCTAAGACAAGATTAATGGACTGGTTGAATCTTTAAAATTACATCAGACTCTCTAGGAATAATTTAAGGACTTTTTTCTTTAATTTCTGTCTAATCTAAGAATAACAGGAGGAGGAGGCAGAGGAGTCTAGTGAGGTACTGTCCATGGGGTCACAAAGACTCAGACACAACTGAGTGAATGACACACACGTCTTTAACCTAACAATTCTAATCTCTAGAAAGATATTAATATAGGAGAGAATTAAAGACATAATATTGATACAGTAACAGTTTTGTTTTTAATAGCAAAAAAATTGGAAATAACTTACATTTAGGTATTGGTCATATAGATTATGGTATGTCCATATAATAGAATAAAATTTGGTCATTAAAAATGACATTAGGAAAAATGATGTCATTACACAAGACTTACTGACAGGAAAAGTTCATGATATAGTGCTAATGAAAAAGCAGCTTACGAAAATGTATATGGTATGTGATTTTGTTTTTGTGTATATATATTGTGTATATAAATATATGTATATGTATGTATATGTTTTGTATCTATATATGTACACACAAAACAAAAATGTGTATAAATACCAAAAGAATGACACTACTTATGACTGGATGGTAGAATTTACGAGAATTTTTAATTTCTTCTTTTCGGTAATTTATATTAAACATTTTCTTCATTGAACACATAATACTTTGGTAATATATCATCCTTGGTTCCTTATCTCTACCAGAAATTGCTTATTTTTTTAGAATAAAAGAAAAGTATACCAGATTTACGGAGGGGCAATCATCTGCATTTTAACTGTCTGAATGGGCAAGTATTCCCAGGGTAGTACTCACATTAAATTTAATGCTGGACATGTGTTGAATGAGTTTTTACTTACATGATTTCAATTTTCTCACAAGAAGGGCTTGGAGCAAATTGTTGAAGGTCCTTTAAGGATTTTGGATGGATCATCCCTTGGCTGGTGTTGATACAGGAACAGCGTCCATTCTTTACTGCTGGGATTCCTAAGGGAAAAACAGAGGGTAGAAAACATCAATCGAAAGTTATGTCTTCATTTAGGTGATACACTAAAATGATACATTTGACTTAGTAATGACTATTACTATCATTTACTGAGTGTCTTTCAATCATTACCACAAGATTTTCAAGTTGGTGTTATATCCATGAGATTCTCCAGGCAAGAATACTGAAGTGGGTAGCCATTCCCTTCTCCAAGGGTTCTTCTTACTGGGAGAATCCCATGGACAGAGGAGCCTGGTGGGCTACAGTCCATCGGGTCTCAAAGAGTTGGACATGACTGAGGGACTAACACTTCCACTTCATGTCATATTTTACAACCTTAGGAAAAGAGATTTTTAAAAATGTTCAATAAATGCCTATCATAGGTCAGACACATGTATACCTAATTCATGTGTGCTATGCAGACCATAGCTTCTCAAACACCTCCCAAAGCCATTTTTTAATCAGACCTTAGTGAAATGGAGTTGGTGTTGGTTTCAATAAAAAGGTCTACTTATAGTAACTAATTACCACTAATCCCAATCTTCCCCACTGCCTTGGTTTTCAGTAGTGCTTTAAACTTTCAAAAACTCTTTAAAATACACTATTTTCATTCCTTAATTTTTTCATTTAGTAGAAATGCATAGAAATGCATTTAGTAGAAATGCATGGTAGAAAAAGCATAAGTATACAATCTCCATTTTACAGCTGAGGGAACTGAAGTCTAGAAAAGCTCATTAGAAAGAAAGAAAGTGAAATCGCTCCACTGTGTCCGACTCTTTGAGACCCCATGGACTGTAGCCCACCAGGCTCCTCTGTCCATGGGATTCTCCAGGCAAGAATACTGGAGTGGGTTGCCATTTCCTTCTCTAGGGGATCTTCCCCACCCAGGGATCGAACCCAGGTCTCCTACATTTCAGGCAGACGCTTTACTCTGAGCCACCAGGGAAGCAGAAAAGCTCATTAATTTGCCACAAATAACAAAGGTAGTTAGTAAAGGTTATTCCTGAGGAACAAGCTCTCTGATTATCAGATACTTAATTGGTTAATCACAGACATACTTATCAACAAACTCTGTCAGGCTGGCAAAAATTATTGAGGAGACAAAGTCTCCCGTCTCATTACCAAACAGTGCAACAAACATTTACTGAACACCTACTGCATGCCAGGAATTCACACACACAAACTGAGATTTGTATTTGACCTGGCAGGTCCATCCAAGATATGAACTTTGGATAACTGCCCACAAGTGACTCACATCACTTTCTGATGCATGCAAAGCAATGCAAATCAAAAGGCTTTTATAGCAATTTACATCTCTGACTTTACCAACTTAATATAGTTTATAATCCCTTACCTTGAACTCCAGTCAGAGTCAGGAAGATGATACCCAAAAAGAGATGAGCACCCCTTTTCTTCATATTGGTAGAGTGAAATAACTCCTGTATTTGTTCTAGTGAGTCACTCCTTTATTAGATTTTAAGCCTGAGAAAGTCTTTAGAGAACACGCTGTTTGAAATCATATTTATTTAGGAAATCCATTTCCCTCCTAAAATCTGATTGGCTGGTGGTCTCAGCTGATCCAGCTAAACTGGCTACAAACTTAACTGTGTTAGGGGAAACCCTACTCTCCTATCCAAGGGAATTTCTGCATACTTTATTTCTTTCCATTTCACATAAATGGGTAGTTTATAATAAGAGATGTGAAACCATCAACATTAGCAGCCTTCAGCACACACAGTGGCTCACCTGGATGAAGGATAATTTATATAATGAGTATAATAAAATTATACAAAAAGGGTTGGAAATGTTTCCAGATGGAAAACATGAAAGTCAAGATAAGCAAAACACTCTTCAAATTTTCTTGCTATTTGTAGAATATCTTTATGTATAATATATGGCCATATTTATTTTTTCTAATATTGCCTACCCAACAACCTTAAACTATCAAAATACATTTTAATGTATTAACTCAGGGACTAGGTAATTTTCTACTTTGGTAAGTTCATTTTGTTTTTATACGATTGCTGCTACAGACTATTATTATTTTTTAATGGTTAGATTAGTTAGAATAATGGATCATTTGAAAATAGACAGTTGGTACTACATTGAACTTAAAAACCTCTGTGTATCAAAGAAAAGAATCAACAGGGTGAAAAGGCAACCTATGGAATGGGAGCAAACAATTGCAAATCATATACCTGATAAGGAGTTTATAAAGAAGATACACAAATAACCAATTAATACATGTATAAAGTTCAACATTACTAATTGAAAGATAAAGTGCTAGTTGCTCACTCCTGTCCAACTTCATTGTGACTCCACGGACTGTAGCCCGCCAGACTCCTCTGTCCATGGAATTCTCCAGGCAACAATACTGGAGTGGGTAGCCATTACCTTCTTGGGGGGGTTCTTCCTCACTCAGGGATCAAAACCTGGGTCTCCTGAATTTCAGGCAGATTCTTTTATCATGTCACGAGTCATTGTTAATATATAGGAATTTTTAGCACCCCAAGAACCAATTATTGTCCCCCTGAGGGCAACACTTCCTCCCCCACATTGAAAATGCATGCTGTAGAGTGTGAGGGGAACAGATATCAGCATTTTCTGTTACATGATGCACATTTTTGAGCTGGTTTCTAGACGGATTATTGTGCTTAAATACAATATTAAGAATTCTTTTCGAAGAAAACTTGTGGTGAACTTTGACACAGCTTACTCATTTGGTTTTGCTTAATTTTGGTAATAACTGTGACATGGGTAGGGTGGAGCTGGGTTGTGGTCCCAGCTTTGCTACTTGAAGTATGTGTGACAAAGTTTGTGAGCTTCACTTCCCTCAGTTGAGAAAACTGTTACTGATCTCACAGGCTGGTGAAATGAATGGCAACAAGGAATTTCAACTGCAAAATATCACAGAGCTAGTGGCCATTTCTTTCTAGCAAGGAAAGTTAGGTGGAAACTTCTTAGAATAAAGATCAAGGCCCAGGTGGTCTGCCCATGCCCAAGTCTCTTCTTGCATCACTCTCTACTCCAACTCTCCTTTTCTTCCCTCATTTCCTGAGGCGCAATGCTCCTTTCCTATCACACGGTTTTTACTCATGCTGTTCCCTGCCTGGGACGTGAACAGATGCCTGGCATCTACCTCCCTACCCTGCTGCTTACCCACCTTAGATTCTCAGGTTGGCATTTCCCCCGGGGAGACTTCCCTTATCCCCAGACTTGGTCGGGTCCCCTACCATGCCATTTCATGGCACTACGTGCTTCTTCTCATTCAAATGCCATGCGAGGTAATGTTATTAATACGTTATCAGCCATCCTATGGTTAACATCTCCCTTCCCACGTGCCGCTAGTGGTAAAGAACCAGCCTGCCAATGCGGGAGACTAAAAGACGCGACTTCAAACCCTGGGTCAGGAAGATCCCCTGGAGGAGGGCATGGTAAAACCCACTCCAGTATTCTTGACTGGAGACTCCTATGGACAGATGAGCCTGGTGGACTCCAGTCCATAGCGTCGCAAAGAGTCAGACACCACTGAAGCGACTTAACACACACCACCACTAGAACAAGGAAGGCTTGCGAGGGCCCACACCTGCGTGCAGTGTGGAGCACAGTGCCCGTAGGCAGCCAGTTAACCAGCGCGCAGCTGCGAAGGAACCAGAGAGCAAACCGAGGCTCCGGCCCTGGCTCCATACTGCGCCTGCCTGCGCGGTGCAGCCGGGCTCTAGCAGCGTGAGCGCACTGCGCATGCCCAGCCAGTCCGCTTCCAGAACCTTCAGTGGGGAAGCTGCAGTCACAGCCGGAGCGTCTTGCGCCGCTTGTGGCCGTGTTGGGTGTTTCTGCTGCTTCCGCTGCTCCCGCCGAGAGGCACGTCGTCGAGGGGAAAGGTAGTGGTTGTACGCCTCGGTTGTCTGCCTTGACCCCCCTCGTGTATCATCCCTTTTCCAACCCGAGGTGCCCACGCTTCCCCGGCTGACGCCGGGAGTGGGGTCCGGTTAGTAGCTTCGGCGCGTGGCTTCGGCTGAGGCCGCAGGGAACGTTGGCCTCGGAGGGGCCTGGTCACGGGGCGGAAGCCTAGGAGGGTCGTTCGGCCTTGGGCCTTGGTGACTGGGGCAGAAGACTTCTGAATAAGAGGAGGGGGCGTTGGGGTCAGTGAGGAGTCACTCGAGGCCGCCCCGTCATATTTTTTTTTTTTTTAATCCGGAGGTGGTGAACTTTCTCCGGGGCTTTACCATGTTTGGCCTGAGGGCTGGACTCGCCGCCCTCAGAGTATGCCCGTACCTCCCTTGTTTCCCAGGCCTCCTGTGGGAAATTGTCCTGAAAATTTGGAAAGAAAACATGTTTCTGACTGAAAAACCCCAGCGAAGCGGCGTTTATGGCTCGATGGGGTATTTAGGAGAAACAGAAACCCAGAAGAGGACCTTGCTGGCAGTTCTCACAGCCTTGGGAAGGGAGCCAAGGATTTTCAAAGCCTTCGAAACCGATAGATAATTCCCAGTTTCCCTTTGGATAGAGTTTTAACCTCCTTTGAGTCGGAAAAAACCTCCAGTTCCTGTCCCAGGGGGAACCAAGTGCTGTATCACCCTCCCGAGCGGAGCAGGATTTTGTCTTCACATGTGAGACCGCCTCCTGCTTCCGTCTGTTTGGTTATGGGGTCACTGCGGTCTGTTTAATTATATGCCCAGCGTGACCGTCCGGAGTGAAAATCTGAGTCTTCCCTTTTGCTTTGAAAGGAGAAGCAAGTTTCTCTCATAGTGAAACTCCCCAGGCCTTTTTGAATTTTTCTCAGTGTGGACTTCCCCTCCTTTCTGCAGCTTTTAGATTAAAGGATGCTTACTTGAAAAGAGTTTATTTCTTGAAAGTCTCTGCAGCCCCTACTTAGCATTCTGATTTTTCCTTCTTTCCTCCCTATGCAGGGAGTCATTCCTTCTAAAATATTGTAGTATGCCTGCAAGCACATCATAGTCGCTGGGGCTGGGGTGGGATTCAAGTCCTGTCTGCATTCTCAGGTTAACAGAAAGGAACACGTACTTCCTTTACCTCTTAATATCTGGCCTCCTGGTTTATACGTTTTATCTAAAGTTTACAGACTGGATTAAATATGAGAATAAACTGTCCTGAGATGGAATGTAAGTGCATCATTTAAAGGACAGCTGCAGATGAATGCTGGCAGTAACGTAACATTTTTGCTCTATGACTTTTGGCAAGTAAGCTTATAGTCTGCTAAAACATAACCACAGTGGTTGAAGCTGCTGCCTGAGTTGAAAAAAAGTTATCCTGAAAAGGAAGAAAATATTTTTGTTTAAAATAACCATATTTCTTTAAAGTGATTTACATTAAGATTGCTTATCTAAGTAACTTCAGAAGAGAAAAACAATCCGTGTTCTTGGAAACCCTTCGTTTGCTGTTCATCGTTTATTTTATCAAGCTTTTATTATGATTATTCTAGGACACAAATATGAACAATAATCTCTGCCCTCAAAGAACTCAGTTTAGTGAAAGAAAGCAGCATGTAAACTAGCAGTTACTGTAGAAGTGGTATGATAAAGGATTGTACACAAGTTATTGGAAGTGCAGAGAAGGTCACAACTTTGGCTCATGGCTTCACATCACAACTGTTTAAATTAGGTCTGGAAGAGAGCTTTGGTTGGAATTAGGTACTCAGAGAAGGTGGGAGGCATGAAAAAGTATGCTAAGTTTTAGAAACTGGAAAAACTTCCAAGAACTTTGATAAGGGTGAAGGGTAGAGTGCTAACAGGGGAGTGATGAGCAGTGAGTCTAGAAATGTAGCAGGATCCAGAGGATGAAGGCCCTTGTAAATCCTTGTGGTGAGGATGAGTTGAAGGATTTTACCCAGGGAAGTGACATGAGAACATTCACAAACACATGCACATACACCTATGTCTACATCTGACTCTTGTCACTAAACAATATCATTTATTTTACGTAAGTATTTCCCAGTATCTATGTAGTTTATATGCTTTAAAATGCTTCCTTATTTGTTGTCTGTTTATTCTCCGTGCTGGACTGAGCTGTTTCTATTGTTTTTGTATTCAGTTCAGTCACGTCCAACTCTTTGCGACCTCATGGACTGCAGCACGCCAGGCTTCCCTGTTGATCACCAACTCCTGGAGCTTGCTCAAACTCATGTCCATTGAGTTGGTGATGCCATCCAACCATCTCATTCTCTGTCATCCCCTTCTCCTCCTGCCTTCAGTCTTTCCCAGCATTAGGTTCTTTTCCAGTGAGTTAGTTCTTTGCATAAGGTGGCCAAACTATTGGAATTTCAGCATCAGTCCTTCCAATGAATATCCAGGACTGAGTTCCTTTGGGGTTGACTGGTTTGATCTCCTTGCTGTCCAGGGAACTCTCAAGAGTCTTCTCCAACACCACAGTTCAAAGGCATCAATTCTTCAGCACTCAGCTTTCTTTATGGTCCAACTCTCACATCCATACATGGCTAGTGGAAAGACCATAGCTTTGACTGTATAGACCTTTGTCGGCAAAGTAATGTCTCTGCTTTTTAATATGCTGTCTAGGTTGGTTATAGCTTTTCTTCCAAGGAGCAAGTGTCTTTTAATTTCATGGCTGCAGTCACCATCTGCAGTGATTTTGGAGCCCAGGAAAATAAAGTCTGTCACTCTTTCCATTGTTTCCCCGTCTATTTGCCATAAAGTGATGGGACCGGATGCCATGATCTTAGTTTTCTGAGTGTTGAGTTTTAAGCCAGCTTTTTCACTCTTCTTTCACCTTCAGCAAGAGGCTGTTCAATTCCTCTTTGCTTTCTGCCATAAGGGTGGTGTCATCTGCATATCTGAGGTTATTGATATTTCTCTCGGCAATCTTGATTCCAGCTTGTGCTTCATCCAACCCAACATTTTGCATGATACACTCTGCATGTAAGTTAAATAAGCAGGGTGACAATATACAGCCTTGACATACTTCTTTCCCAATTTGGAACCAGTGTTATGCCATGTCCGGTTCTGACTGTTGTTTGTTGACCTGCATACAGATTTCTCAGGAGGCAGGTAAAGTGGTCTGGTAGTCCCATCTCTTGAAGAATTTTCCAGTTTGTTGTGATCCACACAGTCAAAGACTCTAGCGTAGTCAGTGAAGTAGAAGAAGATATAGTAGGAGTACTCTTATTTTTTTCAGAGATTTTACTTTCTTGGGATATTTTTCCTTCTTTAGAAGCTTAGACACAAAGATTAAAAACATTTTTATATCTTTTGAAACAATTTGACAGTAAGACTGGACTGATTTTGTAATACCTTCATCAGTGTGTAGATGTACCAGTTTCCCAATTCCCTTGTCATTTTCCTTTTACTTTTGTTAATGTATGAAACAGAGCTTATTTCCGTTTTGTTTTGTTTTTTTTAACTTACTGACGTTTTAGTTTGTATTGGCTTAATCTCTGCATCATCTACCTTGTGAGGAACACTTGTCAAGTGGAGTCAGGATATTGACATTATAAGTATATGTCATTTCTTTACAGACATTGAATAGGAAGATCTAATCCATTTTCAGTTAAAATACTTGCTTTTTATATTTTGTTGCCTTCATTTCTTGCATAATTTTTTCAAAGTATGTCATGTTATATGAGCTGAATTGTGTCCCGCAAACTTCATATGTTGAAGTTCTAACTGCCAATACCTCAGAATGTGACTTTATTTAGAGATAGGATCTTTAAAGAGATAATTAATTTAAAATGGGATCATTAGGATGGTTCCTAAACCATTATGATTGGTGTCCTTATTAGAAGAGATTAGGATGCAGAGAGGTACAGAGAAGACCACGTGAAGACGCAGGGAGGAGATGGCTATCAGCAAGCCATGGAGAGAGATTTCAGAAGAAACCAACCCTGCTGACTCCTTGGGCTTGGACTTCCAGTATCCAGAATTGTGAGAAAATAAATTTCTGTTGCTTAAGCTGTTCAGTGTGTGATCTTTTGTTAGGACAGCTCTGGCTGCATAATACAACATATATACTGGAGGAACATGTATACATATAGAAGAGTGTACCAGTATGGCTCAGTGAATTTTAACCAAGCGTCAGTGGCATGACAGTACCCTTCCCCACTTTCCCAAAGGTAACTTGTATCTTAGATGAGTTTTGTCTATTTTTGAACTATATAAATGTCTTTATACAATATGTTTTATTTAGTGTCTTATTTCTTTCTCTAAGGATTATATTTTTGAGATTCATCCATGTTATGTGTGGAGGAGTTGTTTGTTCATTTTAATTTTTCTTATAATATTCTGTTGTATGACTTACAGTGGTGTATACATCCAGTTGATGGACATTTTGATTGTTTCCCATTTGGTGTTATGAGTGTTCTTGTGTGCATCTTTTGGTCCACACGTATATGCATTTCTCTTGAGTGTATCATTGAGAGTGGAATTGCTGGTTCGTAGAGTGTGTATAGATTCAATTTAAGAAGTTATACCAATTTATGCTTCCACTGTTAGTGAGTGAATGAGAGTTTCATTGACCCTCCATCCTCATATATATTTCATTTCATCAGGCTCAGTGTTTTCTTCTTAGTTTTTTTGCTTTTAATGATTTAGAGGATTTTCATTATTATAATACTTTTATTTCTATAAAATAGAGATTGTCCATAATTGATTATTTCAAACTATGAATTATTGCCTGAAATAAAGTGTGAATTTAAGTTACTTATCTCTAAATTAA